GTTTTGTTTGGTATCCAAGGAGCCCGCGGGCACCCGGGGAGGGAGGGGGGGCGGGTTGGGAAAAGCTGCCGCAGAGAAGCCCGGGGCGGAGGGAGGGGAGGGAGAGCGGGGAGCGGCCTTAAAAACGTAGAAATTGTAAAGCGCCCTGTTTTGTTTACTGCCTTGCGGAATTGGATAAAGCAGATTAGCCCCGTGTAAGGCGGGTGGACCCGAGTTTCACCTTCTTGCCGCCCTCTTGCCTCCTCCCCGCCAGCCCCCTTTGTCCTTTTGTGTCTATTTTTGGTGTGATGCTGCAGACGCCACGTGGTCAGTGAAAGGGAGCTTGCCTCAGTAAACAGTCAGCTGACGGGCTGTGTTATTCCTTGCAACGAAATAGCACAACCGGATGGGCCAAGTCTGTTGATGGTGTAACCCCGCAGATGACCTGAAGTTACACCGCTAATGGCTTTGGCCCATAAGAAATTTAAAGCTTTTTTTTTTTTTAACTCCTAAATGACAAGTTTATTAATTTAATTTATCCCTACTAGAAGGAGCTGAACAACAGGGAAACACTCTCAACCTTGACTTCATTTTTCTTTTTCTTTTTTTTTTTTTGTTTTCCCTCCCCTCTGCTTTTAGGAACGAGAGTATACAGCCCTCCAGAGTGGATCAGATACCACAGATACCATGGGAGGTCAGCAACAGTATGGTCTCTGGGAGTTCTGCTGTATGATATGGTTTGCGGAGACATCCCTTTTGAGCAGGATGAAGAAATCTTGAGGGGACGATTATACTTCAGGAGAAGAATTTCGCCTGGTAAGTTGTGCATGGGTCAAGTGGGGGCTCTTTTTTCTTTTTTTTTTTAAATAGTCCTGCACATTTTTGTTTGTACAAGTAGGGATTTTCTTATTCAAGAAAAGTCTTTTTACTTTCCCTAGTTTGAAATTGCTTTTTTATTTGTTTGTTACAGAATGTCAACAGCTGATCAAATGGTGCCTTTCACTGAGGCCTTCAGACAGACCAACACTTGAGCAAATTTTTGACCATCAATGGATGCACAAATCCGAAGTCGTGAAGTCTGAGGACTGTGACATAAGGCTACGGACCCTTGATACTGATGTATCTAGCACAAGTTCAAGTAACGAGAGTCTGTGAATTACTAAGGACCTCGCACTGGGAGGGGAGCTACAAGCAGAAAGACCACAGTGCTGCTGCCAATACGTAGGAGGGGCTAGAAAAATGCATTCATTATTCTGTAGTTGAATCTTTGTCTGAGGGACTTGATTTTATTTTCCCCCTTTGCTGGTTTCTGCTTTGGAATGAGAGATTTCCTTTGGAAACGCTGATGTTTGGGAGTTGCAGGCCAGTACTTAGTCAAAGACTGACCTTATTAAGAAAGCAGTGACCTCTTGAATACATGGTAAACCTTTTTGCTCTCATAGAGCCTGGACTAGATTTTATTTGCTTTTGAGTGCCTTTTTGAAAGCTGCTTCAGTGGGACTTTCTTTTTTGAGCTGTGTATGTCCAAAGAAGATCCAGTTCATTATAGGAATTTGCTCCCTTTAGACTCAGTGCTGGAGGAAGCAGCTCCTATGATGCATTGGAAAACATGTTCGGTGATTGAATGAAGTAGTCCCATCCACTGGTGATGGAATACTTGAACACAGACATTTCACTCCTGCCCCCCTGGCCCTTTCCAAATCCAACCCACCTCTGCTGCTCAAAATATTTCCTATAGCCTGCACAGAAATATGAACAGGTATATCAGCTTTTTTATCAGAAACATTTATTCATGTTTCCTTTTATCATCTCTACCACTGGGCATGAGAAGCCCCTTTCTCAACTCCCCCTGGCCTTTTGTCACCCTGCGAGTCTTAAAGTATGTATGGGCATGTTAAATGCACAATCAATGCAATATTCAAGGACTTTACTTTTTTTTTTTCCCATACCTGTATAATGTGTTTATGTAAACTTGTTTTTTCCCCATGTGCTATACAGTTATTTATTGTTTGGAGTTTAGAAGACCTCCCACAGGTTTCAGCTGTGGCTATTTATTTGGTTAATTTATTTGGTTAGAGTTACTCAACACTGTGCTTTCCCCTCCTTCTCCCCATGGGAATTCTAGTGATTTGCCCATGGCACTTTTTTTCTGCATTCCTGTCAACTTTTGTTTAACAAAAAAAAAAAAAAAAAACACCCACAAAAAAATTCTGACCTTATCAATTTTTGTTGGAAGATGGAAAATTGTTGTACAAAGTCTAATTTAAGGGAAATAGAATGACTTTTTAAAGTTAGTCAGTATGCCTTTTGTCTGGTATTATTGTACCAGAAATGTAAAGTAATGCTGTTTGGAAGGGTTTTAAATTATTGACATTGTACAGTCTCCGTGCATTGGCTCTGGAAAGTAGAGTGGCAGAGTCATAAACCTTAATTTATTTTAATAGCTGTGTTTCTGTGATCTGGTTGCATTTATGCAGCTTGGATTTGGATTTTTTTTCTTCTGTTTAACAGTGTGAAATGTATGGAGATCATATTTTTTATACAGGTATTTCAATTAAACTTTTTTTGTATATAACAGTTCTGTGTTTGTGTGCTCACTTTTATCTGCACCGTGACTCTTGTTGCCAGCTGGCAAACATGCATTCTGTTACCTTCTCCAGCTTGTAAAGGCCTACAGCAGCTGACCTGGAGTTAATAGGACTATGCAATTAAGCAGTGACCGTTTTGGAAGAATTAAGCAATCCCTCATCTTGACTGTATCTATTTCTTGATCATGTATTCGATATTGAACTGGAGAAGGTGTACAACACAACAGCACTAACGGCCTACACAGAAGGGAACTGGCCAGTAATGGTGGGGGGGTTAACTCTGTAAACACTGAATAACTGAAATACCATTGTCCTGAAGTACAACAAGGAAGCGTTTTTGTAGTCACTGATGGTTACTGTTTTTGCAGTTGACGTGTTTACTTTCCATTACATTCAGTTTCCTTCCTCCTGCGTACCCCTTCCTCCCAGGGTGGATGGGGATTTCCTGTGCCCTTACAGGAAAAGAACAGTATTCTTGGAGAGCAGGGCACATGTTTTCCTTCAGCTCATAGTCAAAAACTAGAAAGACTGGTGTGTCACTTCTTAAAAGGGCTGGGCAACGAGCCATTCTCGTCCATAGTGAAGGCAAGGGAAACATCCTCAGCATTTGTCTTGGTGTGTTGGGAGTCAAGTCCTGCAGATTACTGAGTTCATCCTAGTTTCTCTGCAGCTAGAGACTGACCTGACTTGGTCTTTCTGCAGGGGTGGTAGTGATTACTAGGTTTACCACAGAGGGATCTACAAGCAAGACTTATTTAAGGATGTGTTCAGTCATTAAAGGTGCTGTGTAGTAGTCATGGTGAAGGGCTAGGCTTAGAATCTGTTGGTTTTATGTTATTTCCCTTTTGGTTTTATGTTATTTCCCTTTCTGCGGATCTTTCTGCCAGCTCATCTACTATTATTTTGGTTCCCTGTGGGGATATCTCGCTTGCTGACATCACATCAAGCTCCTGACGCTAACTAGTTTAGACTCGAAATGCCACTGAATAGCAGGAGGTAAAGCAGAAGGGGAAAAACCTTTTTTTGTGTGTGCGGTTTTCTGATGATATGGGGGGAAGGTGCGTAGCTTTTTCTTGGCCATAAAAAGGAAGTTCAAGTGACTCTTGTCAGAGAAATAAAACCCAAGCGCAGTCGTGTCCATCAATTTGTCTGTTTTCTGGTTTTGTTCCTTTTTAGACTTCTTTCTCCAGTTTTTAATCAAAATCTGTACGTATTCTAAGCCTAGTCCCTGGGAAGCTCACATATAGATGAAAATGCCTATTGTCGGATCCTTATTCACAGAAATAAAAGATTTTACAGCTAACATTGCTTAGGAAAATCACATGATCACGTCCTAAGAACGCTTCAAAGTGAAGACTGGGTGTTTCAATTGTTTGTGTCTTTTGGGAAAGTGGAGGGACTCAGATAACCTGCAGGAGAGATGATCCCAGCGGCTAGTGCAGTTCTTTAAGGAAGCACGTTTCTAACCACAAGTGGTCCCTGGAGAAATTCCAGTAGCTGATGATAATTAACATCTTCCACTCCAGTGGCTTCGCATGCTCGCAGCTGTTGAGAGGGGTGGCAGCGAGGCCGTGCGGGTGAGCTTCAAAGGGCTACCAGAAAAGCCATTCTAAAAATACGTTTTTAAAGCTATTGTTGATTGCTGAACTAGGGACTTTCAGCGTTTCCACAGGAGCGTGTGTTACTTTCCTTAGCTTCATAGAGAATTGCTGTTGAAGCGGTCTGTTTTGAAACATAAAAACTAGGTTGTCACCTTTTGCTACTGAGGCAAAATGCATTAAAAGGATAAAGGTCAAAAGGACGCGGGCGCGAGTGCTGACTCCCCTCTGGGATTAGCTCGACATAAAAGGTACACTTTCAGTACTGCAGAGGCAGCTTTGGTTGTGAAACTCCCCTGTACACTAATAGCAGCCACGTGCTGCTGAAACACCCTATACCGAAAGTAGTGATTTGTAAAAATAGCTTTTCTTTACAGTTGAAAGTTGGAAAATGATGTGTTAATATAGTCCCATTAGCTGAGTGTTGCTGTCAAAAGGAGCAAGTCGGTGACAACTCTTGGTTTCTCCTGCACTTCTGTCTGTTGTTTTAATATCATTGAATGTTGCTTCTCTGGGTTCCTCCCCTCCGTACTCTTTCCACACTAGGTTGGTTTTCAACAGCACAGAGCTTGAAAAGCAGAATTCTGCAGGTTGTTCCAAGTACTACTGTTTAAATCACCACCTGTTTTAACCTTGAGAAATCGATTTAGCTGTGATCATACCTGTGCATGTATGAATGCTACTGGCTCGGCAACAGGCATTTCAAATATATTCTAATGCTGAAAGAGCTTTAACAATATAGTATTTTTTGTAATTCATCTCCTTAATAAAACACATTCTCCTGTGTGCATAAGCATACATTTGCTTTTTTTTTTTTCGGCTAACTAAGCTTGTGTTTACTGAAGCAACAGAACCAGAGCCCTTTGCACAGAACTATCAGAAGGATGTTAGAAAGACCGACTAGGGTGTGTTCTCGCCAAACACTTACGGTTCTCTTTCAGTGGTTTACTGACCTCTGTTGGTGAAATTAAAGTATATGTTCCAAAAATAATAATGTATAAATTTGGAAGAGAGATTTTAAAACGCCACTGACTGATGTTTTTAGATATGGAAGAGTATGGCTGATATTTAAATATCCCACGATGTTTGAAAGGCTACCATGGCAAAAACAAGCAGGAAAAAAAAAAAGAAAAAGAAAAGATACTAAAAATATGAAAATAGATTTTCCATAAAAATGGGAGAGAGGAGTATGAATTCAAAAGGTTGTCCACTCTGCACCTGAAGTCACAGAGGTAACCTGCCTAGTGAACCCCTGGTCACTTACACGACTCTTGGCATGAACATTTAGGAGCATATTAGTCTTCGTTCTTCCACTTCATTTCAGTCACGATGAGAAGCACTTGTCTTCTAGCATACAGATTGGCAACAATGCTCAGCAGTGTAACTAGATAACAGAACAGAACATTGTGGACCTATCAGTTTAGTATTAGTGGATTTTTTTCTACTAACAGCAGTGATGCTGCTATTGGTGGCAGAAGTCAAGAAGGTGGCATTTTAATTTCATTGTGAAATTGTGTATATCAGTTTTCCTGATATTATACTGAAGTTTACCATGCTCGGAAATCTGCAATTGCTTAGTTTCATGGTTATCTGTGATTTAAAAAGTTAATACATTTTTGCCTAAGGGGTTCCTTCAGGTAGCTGATATACCAGAGACATATTAAGCTTTGGTTATATTGCAGAACTACTGAACAAAGTGATAAGAAGGCCACAGGCCCATGCCACAAAAAATGAATTTAAGTCTGTATTTAGACAGAATTCCTGATAAATTTCATAGAATGTTTACCTAAAAACTGATGGATTCATGTGGTCAATAAAAAATGTGGACATAGAGACACATTAGGCTTTATTTTTGCTGAAGAGAAGTTACACTAGAGAACCCCAGAACTGGAGTCAAAAAACCAAGGCAAAATGAGGAGCAGTAATATAAATGTGAAATTCTTGCAGAGATTTTCTTAGCTAGCAATCCCACTCCTTATTGGAACAGATCCAATAAATTTAAAAGGTATTGAATCTTCTGTGTCCTTTACAGCTCATAATCTTACCATTATTTGTAATATGGCCTGGCGCACTCAAGTTTTAAGAAACCTTACGTGGTTTCCAAATAGCTGTTAAAATTTGCATATTTATATCTCAGATGCTAGGATTTCCTCTTCCTTAAAAATGCCATGAAGGAAATTACTTGCCTACGGAAGCATTATGCTTACATAATAATATAAATTCAATATAGGTCTCAGATTAGCTGTGTTTAAGCTCTAATTAATATGGTCTTAGTAAGAATGTTATCTATTATAGCTAATACTCTGCTAATTGACTACACAAACCATTATGTAAAAAGCTGCTTATACTAGTCCAGTAAGAGAATTAGTGAGATGCATACTTTAACTTGCACTCTTTCTCAGGTAAGTCTGTGTTAAACCTTGAAAATACAATTAAGTCGTAGGCAACAGAGCGTCTTGTGGATCAATATGCTTCTTTGTTTACTGTTAATGACTCAGCAGTCACTTTAACTTTCCAATTAGGAGTAATGAAAGATTACAGAAAATTAAACTGAAAACTGAAGGGTATTTTGCTCCATTCTGTGCAGAATTTTGAAAAAATGTTTTATAATTTCGTGGATCATTATCTGTGTAAGAGCTAGTTGGAATGTTTTTGTGTATACATATTCTACTAAAAAATGCTGTTTAATTGAAATAAAAATGCTTTGCTTGCAACATCTATTTTAGTTGGAAGGACGATCTCCTAGATGGTTTTATTTCTACCCAAAATTTTCCAAACCTAATGGTGTCATGAAAGGGAACAGTCTCTTTCAAGATCATCCTATGGGAAGTTACCCATTATTCACAGGGAAATGTTCCCTTGTTCAGACTCCATGCAAGATTTTTTCTGCATTTTAAATACCTATGTAATAGCAAAAGCCTTACAATATGTAGATGTACATCAACATAGAAAAGCATAACAAATCTCAGCTTTCCAAAGGTAACTTATCTATTGTCCAGGCAGAGGTAAATAGATAACAAACTTAATCCACAGGAAGGCAGATTAAGTTGTGGTAAGGAAGAGCTTTGTATCTGTAAGGACAGCTAAACACCAGAGTAAAGGGACTGTGGAGTATATTAAAACATCATTTTTAGAAACAAGCATTTTTCATAAATCATCTAGAAATTACAGCTGATTGAAAAATACTTCAGATTTCATCAGCCTAATGCTTGTGAGTTAAAAAAGAAAAAAAGATATTTCAGTTCACAGCATTCGTTCTGCTTGTTGAACCACTACAAAATTTATTGACAGTGCCCCTTTTGCTACCGGCAAAACACTTTTTAATGCAGATTTGACCTAATCAATAGAAGTAGTGACAGACTTTCTCATAGTGGTAAGGCTATGGGGCTGC